AAAAATTACGATCATGATTAACAAAAAACAAAAACAAATTACGATCATGGATTAAAAAAAAATACGAATCAAGTATAACAAAAAAATACTAATCATGGATTAAAAAAATAAAAAAAAAAAAAATCCGTACGGACTCGCCTATTCACTATTCGGACTCGCCTATTCCGTACAGAGAATCGGCGATTCACTGTACAGAATCGTCCGGTTCTCTCTAGAACCGGACGATTTCCAATTTTTTAGGCGATCCGGTCCCCTTTTCACGATTTCCGAGTCGAACCGGGCAAGTCCGGTTCGACTCGGCGTTTTTTAAAACACGGATAGACAGTTTTTGCACAAGGAACTTGAAGAACACTACATGCAATAACCAAAGGGCTTTATAGAGAAAGGCAAAGTAGGACACGTGTAAATTGGAGAACTCATTATATGTGCTTAAGTAAAGATCAAGACAATGGTATAAAATATTTGTTATATCTATAATGAGCCTTGGTTATATAAGGAGTAAGTATGACTGTTACATTTAGTCCTTTCATGATCGTGCGTACATGATTTTAGTTTAATATATGGATGACATGTTTTTAGTATGCAGGAATAGAGCTAAGGTTGATGAACTCAATACATCCTTAATCCCAAAATTTGCGATAAAGGATTGTGGACCAGAAAGGGGCGGACATAAGAAATTTTGTCACTTTCTCACAAAGGTTACATAAGGGATGTTTGATAAATTGCAATGAATAATGCAAAACTAGTTAAGACAACCTTATTGCCTTACTTTATATTGTCTTCAAAGATTAGCCTGAAGGCAGAAGAAGAAAAAAGAAACATTACTAAAGTGCTCTATATAAATGTAATTGAGAGTTATTTGCCATGGTGTGTACTGGACCATGTATTGCTGATGCAACATGTGTTTTAAGTCAATTAATAGTGAACATCGAAAAACATTCATAAAGAAGCAACAAAATGGGTGCATCAGTATTTAGGAGGCACTAGTGATTATGCAACACAATTAAGAAAGGCTTAAATTTTATGCAAGTCTTTGCGGATCAAAGTTTCCCAATGATCTTGATAGGGGAAGATCACTACCACATTTATTTTTTAATTTACAAATAGACCTGTAAGTTGGATCTCAATGCTCATTGACATTGTCTGGGCACACCCACCAAAGTTAGATTTATGTTTGAGTCCTTGAACCATGAAGCACACTAGTCTAGTAAATATAGAACATATTGAACTGTAGTCCACCCCATATCTGAATCCAACTCTGAAATAGGGCTAAATATGTCAAAATCTAGCCAAATTAGTAACCCAGAGAATTTTCGTGTTGGAGATGTGGTCAGCCCAATGTACCCAATGGTGCAATATGCACCACTATGGCATGGACAATCCAGATTTTATCTTGACCACAACCTTTCTGATTTGGATTTTTAACTTATAAAAGGACATGTTCCAGACATTTTTAGGTCCCCCTGCTTGGATGGAACACCCTAATCTTAAACTTAAACCCTCCTGAGCCTTACAGCATCCATACCCTAGCCAACCTTAGGTGATCTCAAACGATAAGCTCTGAAAATATAAGCCTTAATAGTCAAACAAAACGCATATAGGTAAATTCCTAGGCAAATACTCTTTTGTTATTTTCTTGATTATTTATTTTATTGTTTTATAAATCTTTTAAAATCTTCTTTCATTTTTCCTAGGATTGCCAAGCGTTTCTTTTTGGTTTTACACAGATCTAAGTTGGCCCTGGTCAACGATTTCTGAAAAGATGTCTCTCAAGGCTAATTTCTTAGAATCATAATTTGAAGGAATTGAATCGTTACCAATGTCTTTAAATAACAAGTTTGGACAGAAAAGATAGAATAGACTTTGAGCTGATTTCCATCTTAGATTTACGCTAAACACACTGCAGCATTGTCAACTATCAAGCTGACACATGGCAACGATATAGTATAACTCCAAAGATTGATGGGCGAGATGGGTATCATGTGCAAGCCGACATATTTATTTTGTGATAGAATGGATGTTATTTACTTGGCCAATAACCTAGTTTGTCACAAGAGATGAAGATACATTTTGGTTCAATATCACTCTATTTGGTATATTGTTAAAGATGAGAGGATTTGATTGGTCTAAATTAAAATCCAGGATAAACATTAAGCATATTCTTACAAGGTTGGTTCAAGCAAATGATATAGAATGGAGCCTAACTTCTCTTAGTTTCAAAAAAAGAAAATAATAAATCATTGATAATGTAAATGTGTGATTTTGTATAAAGAAAGAAAATTTTGCGTCAATGATACAAAATTAGCCCCAATACCATATCCCACTCCATGTTAGGGCATTTAGATCATTATAATATGACTTTTTAAGTAGAGGCATTGAAAGAAGCACTCGCGTGATCAAGTTGGAGTATGTAATTTTTTTTTTTTTTCAATTTTTTTTTTCTTCATGGCCTAGTTCACTCACTAGTAGTCCTTTTACAATATAATAACTTCAAAAAAAAGAAAAAAAAAGAATACAATAGGATCTCAAGAACTTGAAGCCATTCAAAAACATTTCTTTCAATAACAAAGAAAATACACAATCTGTACTTGGGAATAAAAGACATGATAGACAAATATGTAAAAAACAAAAGAGGGTACCAGATATTACCTTAACTGAACTTCTTACACCCACGCTGAGTCTCTTCCTTCCGATGGTGCTCGAGAGCTTTGATCAGTCTATTTATTTATCCTATTTATGGTAAAACCCAATCATTGCACATGAATCTTGATCTAGAACCACCCACCTAAAGCCTCAATGTTTTAAACTAATTCAAGCCTTTTGGCTTGGTGCCTATGAGAGATAGAAATCAAAGAGAGGGAAAACACAATTAACTAAGGGATAATCCTTTTGCTACTCAAATAATCACAAGCCAATTTAGCTTCTTTAGACTCACAAGAAAGAGAGAGATTAACCTAGTCTAGGTGTACCACCCAATATAGAGAGAGATAGAGGGTTAGATTGGGGCGTGGCCCCTAAGGCTAACTAGGGTTTGAGATAAAGAGAGGTAGACTAGGTGGGGCGTGACCCTTAAGTTAGCTTGAGAGAGAGAGATCTTATCCTAGGGTGGGGTGTGTCCCTTAGAGAGAAACTTAGAGAGATCTTAATCTTATTGAGAGAAGAGAGATAAGAGGTGCAGAGATTATGAGAGATGAATGATCATTTTTATAGATTTTTCATGAGTTAGGGTTTGACATAAATCATAGGAGCAAATATTGACTGTTGATTTAATGAGACTTGTAGGGTGATAGATGTGACTCACCAATTCCATAGATCCACCATCAAGATATTAAGAAATGTGCTAAAACATTATCATCCCATTCTTAAACATATTCGCATTAAATAAGTTAAATAAGAAAAATATTTCTTTACTTTCTTTAATAGTAAATATTCATTCCTTATTTCTCAATCAAACCGTCTTGATTTTCAAGATTTTCTAAAATCATATATTTCATTCTTTTATTGTAAGTAGGCTTCTCTCCACAAAAAGAAAACCATCTAGCATAAGATGCATTCACAATATTTTAGCAAGTGGACAACTCCACATGGGTGGGCATGCCACCCATTGTGCCTCCCATGTGCCCCACCCAATCCAACAAAGTTATTAAATGGGCCCATGTATGATAGGTCCCACATATTTTTACAAATAATAAAATTTGAATTTTTAGGATTTAAATCTTCTTAATTTATTTAAGACTTTAGAAAATGAATTTATCTTGATTTATAAATCCAAATGACAAAATTAAAATATCAAAATAATCATAAAAATTCAAATAAAAATTCGAAAAATCAAATAACATAAAATTAATTAAATGAAATTAATTTTGATGGGAATCAGATTTGAATAGGTCTAGGATTTAGTTAACGTACAGGAGCACTCCACTTTCAACTGTGTACTATGATCCACACTAGCTTTCTCAAACTGACCTCATTAAAGGCTAACCCACTAAACCCTGTTTAGTTATATCTTTATGCCTAAGTACGTTGGGTTTTTTCAATTCGGCTGGCCTAGCACGTCGAGCCTAATTCGAGTATCGATAAATTACATTTGCCTAGTATGGTCCACAAAAAGACCACACTCTCACTGAGTTCATGTTTCACTATATATAATGCTCATACAAACTCACATAAGACCTTTCATATATACCATTTTATACTAAACGAGGCAGAGCTTTCATATGAAAAGAGACTTGGGGTTTTGATTACCCATTGGCAAACTTTAGCCGTTGTTGTGCATTATCTTGGGCTATATTCATTGGTATTCCCCTCGAGTGAGGGAAACAAGGGAGGACATCAAGGAAATGGGTGGCTTGATGATTTTTTTTATAGGAGGAAAAGTCAATTCAAGTTTCCTTTTGCCATTGTTTACTAACATATATAGTACCTAAAAACTTGTAATTTTTCTTCCTTAATAATTAAAACATCATTGCCCTCTGTAGCCCAAAAAACTTGTAATTTTTCTTCCTTGATAATCAAAACATCATTGCCCAGTGTATGTGATATAAATATGAAGTTAAATTCATGGAAAAAATATATAATCACAATTATATTAACAAAAGTACCAATTGGCTCATCATCTACCAATCCATTAGTTAGATAGTGAAGCAGAAAGCACGATGTACAGGTTATAAATTGAAACCATGCTGTTGGACCCACTTTCTCAAACACCGTCGAACGTATTGATGGGACGGTGATGACCACAGCAATGGTGATGAGAAGGTTTGGTAACACTGGATTATACTATATGACACCTTATTCCACGGTGCATATATACTCCAGAGTCCACAACTCATTGCTCACCCCATGGCAGTCTCAGTCCGGGCTATTCCTCCTCCCCTCTCCATCATCAGATGCCCACATTTCACAAACCACAAAATACCCCTCAACAAATCCGGATTATCCACTCCGGTCCTTAACATCTCTTCCAAACTTCGAGTTCCATATCATCTGAGCGATGGGCAAAATCGTCATTTTCACAAGCTTCCCTCTGGTCTGAACATGGAGGTCATAGCTCAGAGAGGAAAAGTAGAAGACCCAACTGGAAATTTATCCCCAAAATGCCCCCTGGTATTTGTACACGGAAGCTTTCATGCCGCTTGGTGTTGGGCTGTACATTGGCTGCCATTTTTTGCCAACAATGGATATGATTGTTATGCCATTAGTCTCTTGGGTCAGGTACTCCTTTTACTTATTTAGAAGACCCAATTCTTCGTTTTTTTTTTTTTGGGGTTGGGGGTGGTTGTTTTCTAAATTCTCTTAACTACTAAATCTTTCCTTATTTGTGTTTTTGGATACATTGTAGTTGCTATTTTTTATTTTTTATTGTTTTGAACTGAGCTGATTGGCTTGTATATGGATTTTGTTATGTTTATTTTCATTTCTTTATTATTTCTATTCTTTGGGTAACTTTGATTAATCTTTTATAAGTTGGGTAATTATGTTTCCATTTTAGGATCAGTGGGTGCTTCAAAATTGTTTATAGAACATTTTGAAATGATTTATTCGTCTTGTTTTTGATGGATTGAGGGCAGTTTGAGAGTATTTATCTTCAATTAATGACTGCACATCGCTGTATGACTGCTAGTCGTTTCAATGCATTGTTATGGGGCGCTTCAACCTTCAAGATGGGAGGATTAGTTTAGGAATAATACTGTCATCTACGTTTTGTCTGTCCATGAAGGCAAACAAGTTAAAGTTACGTCAACAGTTAGTATTAATTTAAGAGCAAGTATTAATTTAAGAGCAAATAAATTTTGACAGACATGTGGCTGCCCCTGATTCAGAAAATATAAAGTTGGTTTTATTTAGAAATGTCAAGTTCATACTTAAAACATTATCTTCTGCGCTAAAATTGAATGGATATTGTTTTCAATCTACCATAAGGGATACCAGGGTTCAGAAACCATGGTTTCCCTCACAGTTTTATATTTTTGTGCAACGGGATAAAGAATTTATAACATTTTGTATTGACTCTCCATGTAGCATTCTTTTTCTGACCCATTTAACATTCAAAACTTTGGAAACCATGTAACAAAATGTATGCATTTCTTCCCCTTCTTTCCAGATTCTACTATGCTTGACTTCATGAGGCGTGAAGAATTTAGTCATCTAAGCTTAGATAGATCCTTCATTTTTTCATGTGAACTTCTTCTTGTAGGCACATCGTGTACCCTGTATACCATGTGATTCATCAAACAACATTTTGGTTATGGTAACTCATGATATTCTTTTTCAATTTGATAAGCATGCTCAAGTTTCTCAATACAGTCGCAACAATGTGCTACTTTTGAAGTTTGGGTATATGATATTCCTGGCTGGATGATTCAAGATGTGGCCTGCAACATATGTTATAGGCATTTTGATCTAGCGAACCCAATTGGCTGGAGTTCAACATATGTCTCAGTGATTCTGATCTATTACAAACTCTGATCAATTAACAGATCCATGAGAAATAGAATGAGCCATTCACTGTAAAGTATCTAGATTGTTTCTTATGCCGACTCATTTGCATAGTGTGTGTGTGTGTGTGTGTGTGTGTGTGTGTGTATATATATATATATATATATATAGTAGTAGTGTGTTAGTTAGTAGTACGACGTACGTACGTACTAACCTAACTATAACTAAGTACGTACTACCTTACCTATAAGTAGTAGTAGTAATAATAGTT